ACCTTAATTGAATAGGCTAATAAAGCTTACACTTTGTGGGGCAGATGTTGGGGTCCTGCTTGCTCCACTATTTCTCAGTTTAATCATTGACTGAAGTATGTGCAAACCATCTGAGCGCAGAACATCAGGCTCCTCCTGCCTCTTCTCCTCCTGCACCCATGTGTGTGACTGTCCCTTGGGAGCACACAGGGTGCTCTCCCTCATGCCACGTCCTTTCGCCAGATGAGGAAAAGCTTTTCTTCAGGGGTAGGGTCTGTGATTTCAAACTCCCAAAGGCTAAGGCAAGCCCTGGCTTCCAGCCTGGAGGAGTGCCTTAAGGAGCCTGGCACCCTGTGGTCTTCCTGATACCGTGGGTTTCAACAGGTAAAGCATTTCTAGGTGTTCATGGCAGCATGACCTAAGAAAAGGGTCCTAAGAATGGTTTTCGTCAGACAACTTTGATGCTATCAAAGCTTTGATGCTATCCTCAACACCGAGGGTTTACTGCTGTCTTGAACACAGGCACTTGCTACCAAAATTTTAGCCTGAGGCATCAAAACATTATTTCAGCTGTCTCCTTAGGTGGTTTTAAGTATCTCAGAGAAATGTTTGCGAAGGCTCACTTTGGCCTGAGCAGGATGATTTCTCTTGGTTATTCTCTAGGCAGTGGAGGGAAGCAGGATCCTGTGGGATAGTCCAACCCACTTGTGCCACATTTGTGCCCCATAACTCATCCACACACATGGTCTGCACCTTCCCACTGCCTGTCACGGGCTGCCGCAGCATCAGCTCTACCAAGCCACAGCTGGCCATTGGAAATCCCTGGAAAGGCTATTTTTGGCAATGATCTGAGCATACAGGAATTGCTTCTGGAAAGACAATTTAGGGTCCCTTAAAGGTGCTTGGGAGGAAGGTCCACAGTGGCACACGTTGCTCAGAGGTGGCACATCTCCCTTATCACTGGCTCACGCTTCTTCAGAAATGAAGGGTATCACAGCTGGGCTCTGGCCACCACTTCCCACTATACTCAGTAGAAACCTGGCAGATGCACAGCACAGGATTGCAACAGACAGTCCTTATTCATCTCTATTTCCCCATATTTGTCTCTGCACACCAATCAGAAACTGTTCGCCAAACAAAGTTTAGCAATATCACAGAGAACTTTAAGAAATTACTCTTATCATCCCTCCTGAGAATAGGTTCATTGGTCAAGGCCACAGTGAAATCTTCCTTTTCTTGTAAAAGTTAACTGAAGTTAGTTATTAAAGTGCTGTCAGTATTTAGGGAGGTTCTCAAATGAAGATCAGCACAAGGTACCTGCCCTGCCTCTGAAAATTTCAAGGATATAATTTTCCATAAAATCTTGGTGTGGTTTCTTCTGAAGAGCTTCCTGGAAGACACATCAGGTACCATTTTGACTTGCTAGTCTGGATAGGGGATATGCAAAGTAATGCTTATAAATGAAATGTTTCTAGTCATGTGCTGTATTTCTTGTAAAATATAGAAGTTTCTCTCATGGAATTTGTTTGTATTTTTCAAATGTTAAAAAGTGAGATGATATTAATATTTAATTATTCAGTTAAAGGTACCAGACTTTTGTGTACTACTTACTCAATATTTAGGATAAATTAATAAAGAGGAAAAAGTATCCCTCTGCTAATTCCCTCAAAAAAATAACACACATCAAAATATGCATTACCAAATGTTCACAAATGCGGGGATTGGCAGTGATGTTGGAACATTTTATGTGTGAAAGATGATATTGCAGTTAATTTTTGCCTGGGAGAACAGGATCAGAGGCCATATGGAATAAAGCTGAACCAGAATGTTATCTCTGGGTTTTCAGTTCAGACATAGTCTTGGTCAATAGCAAATGAAAGCTGTTATGACTTGATAGCTGTGCAATGTAATCTTGGTCTGTGGTCCTGTTCCCTCTGGGTGGGTTGACACATTATAGAAGTCATCAGAATTGTGCTAATTGGTTGTCTCCCACAAGGAGTCCAAGGACTTAGTGACGGGGGTACTCTGGAAAGGCAGTTTGGGTTACTGGGGTACGGATCTCTCTTTTAGGTGATTTGTGGAGGATGTTGACTTCCACTATGCTGGCACTCATCACAATATCCCCATTTTCTTTAAAACATCTAAAATAAGAAATGGTGCCAACAGCCGCAAAAAACTCCCTGTGAAGAGGGCATCCTATCTTTCTAACATATATGGGAAGAAAATGAGAGTGAGCAAGTGGAAGGCAAGACCGGCTGAAGTCACAGTAGCTGACAACTGCCAACAGAGACTGTGGAAGAGGGAACAAGACAAGAAACGCTCAAGTAGTGGGTAACCGGCAGCAGTGGTCATCTGGCTGCAGCAACGTGCTGCATCCTATGGTCTCATTTACCTGCTAGGAAACAGGTCGAAGGCACTTTACACTGCATTCCAGGTGCTCAGGCTGGCATGGTTAAACTTAACTTGAGTAATACCACGTGGCACCACACTCTTTAAAACAAACTCATGCTCCCATGGTTCAGCTCAATGAGAGCCTTGGGGCAAGGCTCTAGGGCTCCTTCTGCAGCTCTAAGTCATCGACCCCAACCAGGAGGAGAATTGGTAAATTGGGGCTCTTGTTAGGAGGGAAAAAACACAAGCAAAATGCTTATAGCTTCAACAAGACCAGCACTAACAAACCAAAGGAGATTTGAAGGGTTGTGGAAAGACATATTGTGGGTTCCCTGAGATTGGGGCATTAAATATGGCCCAAGGAAAGAGCAAAGGCTGGACAAGGGGCTGGAGTGACAACAAAAGTACTCAGAAAAGCTACAGCAGCTGCAGTACCAGGGAAAACCTGAAATGACAGAGTAACACATGGACTTCAAGTAGTACATCTTGTGCCGTACAATGAATGAACAGTTGTTCAACGGGACTTTCAGCAATATTTCTCTCTGGGACATGAAGACTAAAAGACTGATATGCAGACTAGGAAACAGAGCTAGTCTACAATTTTTAATACATAAAATTTCTTCCTGCAAATCTAAGTGCACTGAGATTTATCAGCGAAAGAACTAAATTAACCAATTTTTTCATTTAAATTTTGTCAGCCTCAGACTTGGAGCTCTGATCCCTACAGAGGGGGAGACAGTAGTGCACAATTACAGTATTGGAGTATGATTTTAAGTGACTTTGGATCAAGGTCTTGAATGAGCTTAGATTTTGAGTATTAGTCTGTTAGAATAATTACCTGCCCATTTTTGGAAAATATTACAGATCTGATTTTTAATGTTAAAACAGATAGTGAAAATGCTTAGTCCATTGTCAAAACAATGACTTTTTTGTGGAAAAACAGTATATCTACAAAAAGTTAATCTAACATTATTTGGACTTCCACGCATCCATTAACTTCTCCAGAATGAACTAGGAGGAAACTAAAATTAAATAACTCAAAATAGGTCAATAACAAGCCCTGAGCTGTAGCAAAGTCTCAAGATGGGATTTGCATTTTAATGCCAAAATTTTCATAGATAAAAAGCTTTCCATCTCTTCATAACTACACAAACTGCTTCATGACATGAAAATCTGTCCTATGACATCTCCAAATATTGACTACACAGAAGTCTGAATTAGAAATGCATGTAGGTTATTTCAGCATGAGTCAGGCAATAGACCCAGGCAAGGAAGTAGTGTTGGCCAGACATCTGTCACGAGACCACCAGCAAGCACCAAGGCGCCAAGGAGCATTTGGGCCAGGAGAGAGAAAAAGAAGAAAAATGCTTTACTATCAGTGTCACAAAAGACTTTCTGCTTCCTGCAGTACAACTTCATCTCTCAGTCAAAGGAAAACAAAATAGGATAGAATAGGTTAGTTGCAGATGGAAGAGTCCCACAATGATCATCTAGTCCAACTGTGGCTACCGAGAGCAAGTTCCACAGCTCCTTTCTAAGACTGTATTAAATATTTAATGGTGGCTTCAGCAGCAAGAAATGCTTTCTCGTAGTGCATTTATTTAGGTGAATTTAGTGTGGGAAGAATGGGGGATAGAGGGAAACATAACAGCACAGTGGCATCAAAAAACAAGTGATGGCATCAATTAATTGCTGCAAAATACCCAGTGGTATCAACTGAAATGAATATTGAATCTTCTTGTGTAATGCGGGGCTCAGGGATCATTTCTGGAGTGACCAAGAACAGTTTTTATTCAGCACAAACAAGCAAATGTAGGTTGGGAAAAGGCAGAAAAGAGTATTTAGTTCAGACAGTGCAACAACTGCTTGTGAGCATGAAACAGAGGAGAAGCAGTGCAGAAAACCTGTGGAAAGAAAACTTACAAATAACTTAACAAGCAGCAATACCATGCTTTTCCACTGCTGAGCCTAACCTTCTCATTACACAGACCCTACCCAAAATTCAGCCCTGTCTTCAAATTCAAGAGAGGACAGCTGAGCCCTGCCTTGGCTCTGCCTTTCCCCTCGTGTCACAGAATCACAGAATGTTAGAAGTTGGAAGGGACCTCGAAAGCTCATCCAGTCCAACCCCCCTGCCAGAGCAGGATCACCTAGACCAGGTCACACAGGAACACTGGGTTTCAGTGAGCTCCCAGCCCTCCTGATGGTGGCACAAAGAGAAACCGCTCGGGATCTGCTTGTTTGTTTTTTAAGAAATTAGTCTCCCTTGAGGAAAGTAGTTTTCTGTTGTAGACAGCTGACTCATAGATAAATTAATTCAAAATCTATCTTGTCTGCTTTTTGGCTGCACCTTTAGAAAGAAATACTTCATGCTCCAGTGAAACACTGCCCTGCAGTGGGAGGAGGAGGGCAGGAGATCAACTTGGCAAAGTGAAGCAACAGTCTCAACTGTCTCTCTTTTGATCTTCAAAGGTGGTAACACTCAGTTTGGAGTTCACTCATCTATGCTATGGCTACCTACTTCACAGTGCATAAGGAGGTAACTCCATTTTTCATTCCAGGTTTTTAAGTGACTAAGGCCAGAGAGAAGTACATACAAGTCACCATCCTCACTTAACATTTCAGGAGAAATGGTTGAACCTGTGGGAAACCACTATGTTGTAGCCAGACCTGTGTACTCGGAGAATTTATTCAACGAAGAGCATGAGAAATTGCACAGATACCATAAAAACTTTTGGGATCACCTGAAACTGTATTTTAGGTAAGTTTTTTGTTTGCTATTTTTTTTAATAACTATCTAAGAAACAGCCCTAACTGCCCAAATAGCACAAACTCTCCAACAACATGAACTCCATCCTGATTCTTTCCTGACTCAGATGTCAACAAAGCAGATGAAAACTCATTAACTAAATGAAATGTCAGGTTTTTCTGAAGAATTTTAGCTGCTGTTACCCTTAAAAGCCTTCCTATAGCTGTACCCCAGGCAGCTTGTCTTTTCCTGGGTGCTTGGCGGCACAGACTCCAGAGACATCTTATTGCGGACTTTCAGTACTTAAAGGAGGCTTATAAGAAAGCTGAGGACAGACTTTTTCTTAGGACCTGTAGCAATAGGACAAGGGGTAATGATTCTAAACTAAAAAAGGGTAGATGCAGACTACATATAAGGAATAAATTTTTTACAATGAGGGTAGTGTAACACTGGAAAAGGATTCCCAGATATGTGGTAGATGCCCCATCCCTGGAAATGTTCGAGGTCAGGTTGGACAGGGCTTTGAGCAACCTGATCTAGTTAAAGATGTTCCTGCTCATTGCAGGGAGGTTGGACCAGATGGCCTTTAAAGGTCCCTTCCAACCCAAACTATTCTATAATTCTATGATTCTATGAATATTTTGGTTGGAAGGGACCTCTTGAGGCCATAGGGTCCTCCTTGAAGCAGAGCTGGCAGAGCAGGTTGATAGGGGCTGTGTCTGGGTGTGATTTTGACGACTGGCAACCTGAACCTGAACCCTCTGCCCTTCATTTCCCCTCCAAAGACAAGCTGTGACTCAGCCAAGCTGTTCACCAACAAAGCTCTGTCGTCTTGTGTCTTGACAGCTGCTCCCCACAAAAGGTAAAAAAAATTGCCTTGCGTTTGTTTCCCATCGTCTCATGGCTGCCAGCGTACCGCTTCAGGGAGTGGATCCTGAGTGACATCATCTCCGGCATCAACACGGGGCTTGTGTCTGTCCTGCAAGGTATCTCTGGGAAATGTGTGCTTGGACACAGACTGCTAGGCCAGGTGCAAAGGAACAACCCATAACACGCAAGTTACCTTCCTTGGGCCTCTGTTCTTACAGGTCTCGCCTTTGCCTTGCTGGTGAATGTCCCCCCCAGTTATGGGCTCTACGCAGTATTTTTCCCTTGCTTGGTCTATTTTATCTTTGGCACATCCAGGCACATCTCAGTGGGTAAGTTCAGGCACACTGCACTCACCCCTCCACCTCACTAGCGCAAAAGTAGGTGCTGCCCTTGCTGGTCTCTAACAAATGCCTTGTGCTGCTCAGGTCCCTTCCCTGTCCTGAGTCTGATGGTGGGAGGAGTCGTCGTCAGGCTGGTCCCCGATGACAGTACTGGAAATGGCACTTCCACGAATATCTCTGCAATAAATGAAGAGAGGGTGATGGTGGCTGCATCTGTAACTTTCCTTTCTGGGGTTTTTCAGGTTGGTAAACACATGTATGTGCATCTGCACCTGTCTATATGCACATATATGAATAGATAGATGGTGGATTGACCTTCCTCCTTGTTTTCTGCTGTTGTAGTCACCAAAGTAATTTTCTTCCCCTTCACACATAAATGATCTTGGCTCACTGATTAGGGGACATCCACTCCCCTCCAGTGACCAGGCACTGATCCATGCTGCGAAATCTGTGGTTTTACCCAGACCTGAGCCTATAGCATACACAGCTGTACCCCACTTACAGCAAAAAACCAGTCTTCTGGATAGGAGAAAAAGTAGTTGTGAGAGTAATGTGAACAATGCAGACACACCAAGGGGAATAAAAGCTCTGTCTCATAACAGTAAAGTATTTGGATTTGTCTGTTCAAAAAAACCCTCAATTTCTTCTTCCTTCCTACTATAGAATTCCTACAGTTCCTTCCTTCCTAACACATGAATATGTTTTGTGCTTCATGAAACACTGGTACCATGTGAAAACATGGGTACTGAAAACCCTAAGACTAAGGAGGTTTATTATAAAATTTTATATTTTATAAAATAAAAAGAATAGGTTTTAACTGCTCTAGCAACAACTCTTACTAGACTTGTGCCCTCTGTTGCTAAATCTCAACTTCTGTTGCAAGTCTGGTGACAGCATATTCTTTAATCTCTGGATGTACGGAATTAGATGGGAATCTTTGTTTCCATTAAATATTGTTCTCTTTGTTGCAGAGATTGCTTAAAAGTACAAATGAATCTCACTGACATGTGGTCATTTTGCATTTCAGCTGCTTCTGGGAATACTCCAGGTTGGATTCATCGTTATTTATCTATCCCAATCATTAATCAGTGGTTTCACAACTGCTGCAGCTGTCCATGTTTTGGTATCTCAGCTGAAATTCATGCTTCAACTATCTGTCCCTGGATTTAATAAGCCTTTTGGCATCATCTATGTAAGTGCTAAGCGTTCATTATTTGCTAATGCTATTGAAACCTGCAATACGTATCTGGCCATGTTTCACAAGACAATCGTAACAGAACTCAGCATAGAAACAGCCAAACAGGAGGAAACACAAGAGAAAAATATGAGAGATATGCTATTAGTATATGACCAATCTTTAAATTTATTACCGAACACCAAGTTACAATCTGTTGGGCTAATTAGATATTTTCTATTGTGTGTTGGTATATTTTAATAAAGTATTCAACGTTGCCCCAGGCATTTAATTATTCACTTTTTCTGGACTGATATTATATATATTTAATTTGGGTATGACTCTGTGAGAGCTGTTGGATGAGAAAGAAGGAAGGAGAAGGATAGGAAGGGAGGAGTGGAGACAGGCACCTGCTCAGTAATTCCCTCATTCACATTTCCTGTTGCACATGTGCGTGTTGCTCTGACTCTCTGTCAGGAGGAGGCCAAGAGGAGAGAGTCAGGAGCCAGTGGAAAGGGTCTTTCACAGATGCTTCTGTCATTTGAACGATACACATGCATATTCATCAGGGCTTGCATCCCACATCATGCCACAGGAAATAAATCCCAAGCACCGAAATCCTTAGAGCCATTGCGATACAGGCCCTTCTGGAGGGGATAGAGCTACTATGCCAGGGCACTGCTATTTCTGAAACACCACATCTCTTCTTGATTTTGCAGACTCTGGAGAGCATTTTCAGCCAGATCACAAAAACAAACATCGCTGACCTTGTCACATCCCTTGTTGTCTTGCTTATCGTGTTCGTGGTGAAAGAAGTGAATGATCGATACAAAGCAAAGTTACCAACTCCCATCCCGATCGAACTCATTATGGTAACAGTCACCTCTCTTTGATTTTGCAATTCCTCCATCACTATGGTGGTACAGGAAGCAGAGTTTTATCTATTCCTTCTCCTGTTCTGCGTTAAATGATGGGTTATCTTTTTACCTGTAAGGAAAAATTGACAGAGTTCATGAGCTAGTTGTGTAACTGTTCTTAACTGAGTACACCTGTAGTGCTTAAGATGTTATAAACTATGGATTTTTTCCTGGGATGAAATTGGCTCTAATACCAGCTGGCTGCAGTTCTGGGGCTGGGTCCCCTCTGCACCACACCTGCAAGTAGCCGCTGAAGTCCTGCCGTCCCTGGCCAAGCACAAAACAGTTTTGCCCTCCAGCAGCAGAGGCTTTTGCCAGCCCTCCTCACCCTCCTAGAACAGCAGTGGGGTGGGGGAAGCCTCACACGGGCAGCAAGCTCCTAAATTCCTGAAGGATGTTGCTATAGGTGCAGGTGGTGCTTGTTTTTCTGCAGAGTTATTACAGCACCTTGTTAGAAAACACCTGATTTATTGGGTGAGAATTTCTGTGTTGTTAATGAGATATTCTGATAAATTGTACGTTCTGGTGTGTTCTCTGTGTGATTTATGAATGTAAAGCCATACCTGCAAGGTGGTTCAGGAATTATATCTGAACAGAAAAGTGATGCACAGACTTAGGGTGTGATTCTGCTGCTGCTGGTGTTGAGATTGGGGGGGTGTGGGAGAGGGAAAGAAATGGTTTTAAATAGTCTCTTCATACTCTTATTTGAATGTCCCTAATGGTCATTGGGTTTATTATCTTTCAGACAGTCTTAGCAGCACTGATTTCCTATTTTGTTAACTTTGAAGAAAAATTTAATGTTGCTGTTGTCGGAAAACTAGAGGAAGGGTAAGTAATTTGCTTAAAATTTACCAGTGAAGCAAAATGTACTTTTCATTTTGCCAGTGCTAAATCAGTTCAGCTTTGCATTTTGATTAAAATAATCTGCTTCATTTTCTCTCGGTAGGTAAATAAAAATGTTGCTCTCTGCCATTTGAGGAAACACTTTCAATAGGTAAAAGCCACTCACTAGAGCATATTTCCCACAAAAAAAGAATACACTGTGGCATGAAATAATTCCTGCTTCATTTTCTAAGACGGCTATTGAGCAGGAGGTTGATGTTTGTCCCTTTTACTGAGCTACTCACTCCTGAACCCCTCCATTTCCCTTGTAGTACACATGTGGTTCAGTAGCCACTGGCAGCCCTGGGAAGCCACGAAGACACTGCGCAGTTCTCCTGCCTGGTCACCTGGGGGCAGCCACCAGCATTGCCCCAGGCATCACTGTCCTCTGGAGGCGGAAACCTCTGGTCCTTTATGAGTATATCCACATAGAGGGTATATACCCACATACAGAGGTATATCTATGTACAGAGTACATCCAGCTATGCCAGGATTTTCTCATAAAGAAGTAGTAGGTACACGTTAAGTTAAAAAGAGAGAGGAAGACATTTCCTAGGACAGCAAGCAGACTGCAGCCATTTACTCACCAGCACACTCTCGATTGTCACCTGTAGCCCCAGGGGTGTTCATGCATGAAGTTGGCAAAGAAACAGCTATTTCTGTTCAGGAGTCTCCATTCTTCAGATTTCAGGTCACTGGGGGGTAAAAAAAAATGGATCCCAGAGAGGAATTCTCTCTGGGATCTGCAAAAGCCTTTGATCAAAGGAGTAGGAAATGGTAAAGCTAAAGCATCTAGCAGATAGCCTAAGAGACTGGTCAATACCACCCCACTTAGTAAGTATTTGTTTAGCTGTCCTAGCTGCTTCAACGAATCATGCAGGGATTTTTTTTTTTGTCACAAAAAAAGTGAATCCTTGCATGTGCAAATTGCCTGTGCAAGGGCCCCAGTGCTGTGACAGATCTTACATTCATGCTTAACTGGAAGGCAGAACCGTGCATGCACCTCAGACAAAATAAGCTGTGGCTGGTCCTGACCAAGGAAATGAGAACCTGCAGAGACACAAGCTGAGCTGAGTGTGGATAAACAGAGTCCCTGTTCTGATCAAGGATTCCCTGAAGTTTTACAGGGTTCAGATTCTCCATTCTGCATTGCATCTCTCCAAAGTGCTCAGTATGAGCTAAACACCACCTTGCTCGCTTGCTTGACATCTTGTCTCCTTAGGCATGCCCTTAATGAGTAGATTTTTCTGTCTTACAGATTTCAAGCACCTGTTGCACCTGATGCAGATATCCTCCAAAAGTGTGTTGGCGACAGCATTTCCATCGCAATTGTTGGGTTTGCAGTAGCCTTCTCTGTGGCTAAAGTGTATTCCATCAAGCACGACTACCCAATAGATGGCAACCAGGTAGGAAAATAACACAGAAATTAATACAGTACATTTGTCAAGGGAAAATAAGTAATTTTAGAAATTATTTGCCTTGTAAATATCTGTCATGACCTAGCTTTTAAGAACAATTTCTTTTGTTTTTATTTCAGGATCTAATTGCTTTTGGGCTGGGTAACATAGTTGGTGGATCATTCAAAGGATTTGCCTCCAGCACTGCTCTGTCAAGATCAGGTGTGCAGGAGAGCACAGGAGGCAAAACACAGGTATGGAAAACAGATCATGATGACATTTAATGCCAGAAAGCTCTTTTTATTTTTTTACTTTTTTTCCCTTGGATGACCATAATGCCCTCAGCCACTTATTTGTGGTGGAATTGTTCTTTCATGCAGATTGCTGGTATAATCTCAGCTGTCATCGTCTTGATTGTGATCTTGGCCATTGGGTTTCTCCTGGCACCATTACAGAAGGTATTGACTGGTTTTACCTAGTGCTTCCTCTGCTTGCCAAAGACAGGGCTGCTCTGGGAGTCACTGGACTGTTCAAAGGCTTCAGTGGGAGCAAAATGGGGTTTTGCAAAGTTTGATTCTTCTGATCTGGGAACCATGACAGGGAGGACCACTACGTATGGTCCCTCAGAGGGAACACAAGCACCCAAACATCACAGCACCAGCTTTTAGGTGCCACAGATAAGTTGGATTTGCAACCTCAAGTCAGGCACCTGCTCTGCACCATGGCTGGGAAGGTTGCAGTGCGACTCACAGCAGTGACACAACATGAAGAGATGCCTGCCCTTTCAGCTGCACTTTGGCTCTATTTATATGATTTTCTAAGTCTTAATGTTCAATGTTCACTTTGCTTACTTCAAAATTCAATATGTATTTCGGTCTTTTTAACAGTCAGTCCTTGCATCTTTGGCTCTTGGCAACTTGAAAGGAATGCTCATGCAGTTCAAGGAAATAGGCATCCTATGGAGAAAGGACAAGTATGACTGTGTAAGTTGAGTTGCACAAGCATTCAGGAAAGCAGTATTCTGGGAAAGTCACCTATTATGCTAATTTGCTTACAGGTTATCTTTATTTTTTACACCTGCCTTACTTCACTAAATGGAAAGTTCAATAGTGGCATGCCTTTTTTACTTTTATATCCCTCGCTTATGTTTTCCATTTTGTCCCACCGATTTTGAGTTGATTCTCTCACTCAACTTAATTTTCATCCATTTAATCAAAATCTATTTAAATACAGCTCATTATATATAGTCAAATGTAGGAGGCAGTTGTGGAAAATGACAACATACCCTGTGCATTTGCTAGACATTCAGGGACACTTTCTCGTACCCATGCAACACATTAGTGGAGGTTACACAGTAAACAACAAGTCAAGACCATGGTTTTGAAGGCTTTACTCCAAATTGTAAAGATCGTGGCTGGAGGGCAGGACTGCTTACCTTTGACACTCAGAAAATTTAGGTTTTTGTCTTCCTTGTTGGTCAGTTCTCTGTGTTCCCAAATGATTCCAGGCCTCAGTTTTCCCAGCTACCAAAGAGTTATTTACCACATGAAAATTCTTTGAGGTCTGTGGTTTAAAATACTCAGTATTATCTAGTCATTTGTGTTTATCAGTCAAGTACATTCACTACACCTACATTTGCCTGTTTGGTTATCCAAAGCGTATTTATAACTCTCAGCTTTACCAGGATCCTGATTTACTCATAACCTTGCCTTTCTCCTGGAGTTTGATTGAGCATTTAGTGAATCACTCATAGGAGATCCACACTTCTATTATTCTAAGCCTTTATTGTATAGAAATTGTCATCCTTGGAAACACTCCTGGGTGAGTCTGGCCCTATTTTACAGGAAGAAAGAACAAAGTAGGAAATGTGAAACCCTTCACCAAAGGTGGGTGAACAGCCTGGACCAGACCTGAAAAAACAATCCAGATGTTGCTGCTCCCACCCTGGGCTCACGACCCAGATTTTTGATGTGTTTGTAACTGCTGCCATTCACATTTACAGGTTATATGGGTGGTGACTTTCTTAGCTGCTGTTTTTCTTGGCCTGGATATTGGGCTAGCAACTGCTGTGGCATTCCAGCTGTTGACCGTGGTGATCCGCTCCCAGTTGTAAGTACTTGTTGGATGTGATGAAAAGATATCTCAGGGCCTCCTGTTATAAATTAATTCCCCCTGTACAGAGAAGGCAAACAGCCCTGTGCTGTGGTCTGTCCAGCAACTGTGTACGGAAAAGCCATTTACAGGTGTAAACCCTTGAATGTGGGTCCTGCTTCAGTCTGAAGAACTGGAGCTGAGGTTGCTTTTCCTGATCCTTCCTTTCCATCAGGTTTCAGTATGGGGCAAAAATAACTGTATGTGTTTGTTTTTTCACAGTCCAAACTGCACCGTTTTGGCTAATGTTGGGAGAAGTAACATCTACAGGAACAGGAAGGATTACACCGATGTAAGAAATGTTGCTTTTCTTTGATTTCCTGCTGCATTTGTGTTTCTATAGCAGACATCATTACTGACACTTTTCCTTCATTGTACAGATCTATGAGCCAGAGGGAGTGAAGATTTTCAGGTGCTCATCTCCTATCTTCTTTGCTAATATTGATTTCTTCAGAGAGAAACTCATCACTGCTGTAAGTGTCTGGGGCTGTCATTCAGAACATGAATTGCATGATTCATTAAGGTGAATAGGATTTCCTAATAATTGCTATATATGCAGTCAGTCCACAGTTCAAAGATTATTTTTTCATTAATTATTCAAATATTGTTGCCATTGCTGGAATGCCACATGTATGCACACACACATAACAATGTATATACATATTTTAAGTCCTTTAGAAGAAAGTAGTGCAAATATAGAGATTATAAGAGGACATTATTTTATTTTATTAGTATTTATATTATTTACACCCCATAAATGCTAGTTTACTCATCTTGCCCCAGAGAACTTAACCTCAACAGTCAGAAGAAAAGCTGAAAGAAATCCCATGATCAGAGTTTCTAATTTCTTCCATGACAAACTGGATTAAGGCAGTCAGTCTTTCTATAGCCAGCATGGACAGACAGGTCCCCTGAGCCCTCGCTGTAACAGAGAGGCTCGCCATCCCCAGACTGAACCGAACTTGCAAAACAAAGATGTTGTAGGGTGTCTATTACCAATTGCCCAGCAAGGATGTAAGCACTGATGACTTTCTTTATAGGCAATTAGGAGAAACTTCAGGGTCAGTAACCCTTTTCCTTATGAGACATCTCAACTTCCCAGACATCAGCTGGGAATATCATGCTGCTCTGACAAGCAGGTCTTGGAAATTCTTGAACTTTGTAGGAGATGGTAACTTCTTGTCACAGGTACTTAGTAAGCCAACTAGGAAAGATGCCCTCCTAGGCTTGCTATTTGTGAATAGAGGAGGATTCATGTGTCACAGGTTGCTGTCTTGCCCACAGCGATCATGAAATTGAGTTTTATCTCTTCAGTGTAATAAAAAAATGGACAGCAGAGTTGCTACCCTTGACTTCAGGAGAGCAAACTTTAAGGTACTGAGTGAGTTATTTAGCAGAGTACACTGGGAATTTGGTTTTGAGTGTTTGGGAGTCTACAAATGGTGGTCAGTCTTATTTTTTAAATTATTCAAAGTGCTGTTTTTGCAGGTTGGCTTCAACCCACTGAGAGTCCTCAGGAAACGCAATAAAGCTCTGAGGAAGATCAGAAAGATGCTGAAGAAAGGAGAGCTGCAAGTGACACCCGTACGTAAGGCAGCTCCACCTGGGAGGAGTTAGGCAACCAGTTTCCTGGCTCGACACGGCAGAGAAGTGCCTCACAGGCTCCTGCCCTAATTGGATATGCTATTCTCCAAGTTGTCACTTAATGACGTGAATGAATTTTAAAAATAAGATTTTTAAATGGCCCTCACAGTTAGAAGCTTGCAGCTGTACCATGGGCAGAGCTTGTATGTGTCCACTGGAGCTTTGCTTGGCAACAAACGGCAAGATCAGATGTCACAGAGGTGATGTTTATGCTGCATTAATGTTAGGATAAAGCTGGTTTTCTCCCAGCCAAAATCCTGCATGCTTTTTGGTGACTTGTTCCAAAACTGTGGAGTCAAAGTATATCTGATTAATAACTTTGGGAAACAATAAAAAGCAGTCATAAACTAATTATGATAATGACTAAATGACTGATGAAAGGAAAGCCAACATTTCCAAACCCCTCCAGACAAGGGACAGACAGAACTTTTTCTAGTCCAAAGTGCAGGTGGGTCCTGCTCCATCTCACGGGTACATCACCTCTGCATTGCCACCACTCTGGCCCTTTTGTAAGATGCACTACTACCCTGGCTGGGTCTTAAAAAGAAGTATTAATTATGACACTTTTCTCCGTCAATACAGAAAGGCTTGATTTGCACGGCTAACCATACATATGAGTCAGATGAAGAATTGGACAACAACAGGATAGAGGAGCTGGACCAGCCCACCAACATGACAGATTTGCCTGTTCAGATCAACTGGGGCGCTGACCTCCCCCCAGGTATCACTGTGCCCCGGGTTGACATCCACAGCATCATTCTGGATTTCTCATCAGTGTCCTTCCTTGATTTTTCTGCCATGAGAGTCCTTCAAAAGGTAACTGTAATTCACAAGACATACAGTAACCATATAATAGAAAAACATACGAATGTGGTTACACTTGAGGGATACGCTTGAGGGAAGGGATGGCACCCAGAGAGACCTTGATAGGCTTGAGGAGTGGGCCCACGTGAACCTCATGAAGTTCAACAAGGCCAAGTTCAAGGTCCTGCATCTGGATCAGGGCAATCAGCAGTATCAGCACAAGCTGGGGGATGAAGGGATTGAGAACAGGCCCAAGCAGAAGGACTTGGACACAGTGGTGGATGAAAGATTGCACATGAGCTGTCAATGTGCCCTTGCAGCCCAGAAAGCCCACCCTACCCTGGGCCGTACCAAAAGAAGCATGACCAGCAGGTCAAGGGAGATGATGCTGCCCCTCTGTCCTGTGACTCTATTCTATCATTCTAGCCCGCTTCTTAAAGGCATTCCTGTATGGACTGGAAAGTCAACAGCAACCTTTATGTTTATGTTAATTTTAATGTACATTTTCCATAGAAAAAGTTAAGAAAACAGATTAAGTAATCAATCTAAATTTTCTTGGAGTTACAGTGTTGGCTGTGGCACTCTTTCTTTACCTCATAAGATTTTTGGGAAGCTTTACAGAAACGTACATATGATATATGGCTTTAAACACTGGGCAGGGAGTTGGAACTTTGGAGTTTCAGTTCTGCTCCTGCTCTCACTTTCCTGGATGACCTTGAACAAAGCAGTAAGAACAACATTTCAAACAGCAATAGCTGAAGGTAACAAGCTAGACCCACATAGATCCATGCTAGATCCATGTGTAAATTTATTTCCACAGGAACTAAACACCTGCCTTGTCAGTGGGAACTGTAGTTCTGCTTGAATCTCCAGTTATAAAAATCTCTCCAGAAGCTTTTGAAGTCTTAGTGTTATCCTGTGTGAAGTAGGTACAACAAAGCCATACAATTTATGATAGATCATCATTTTCACTGTAGGCTAAATGTATGTAATACTGCTCCTTTTCAAAAGGATCAGCCATCCCTGTCTGCAGCCACGTGAAGAGACCACCCTGTCTCCAGGTGCAGCAGAGTCTGAGTTTAGAGCTGCTTATCACTGTTCAAAATACAATCACTATCTTAAAGTGGTTTGTGTATTTGCTGTGACTAATTACCATAATGATTGCTGACAGCAAAAATAGAAGTGTCTAAATGGTACCTATTTCTGGTTTAACAGACTTTGAAAGAATTCGTCCGGATCAACATCGACATTTACATTGCAGAGGCGCACGGTGAGTACTTTTCCTCCAGCATCACTGCAGATGCCTTGTCCCACTGCCTTCCCTGTCCATCACCGAGCACAGCTGCGGAGGCTCACCCCAGTTTCCCCTTTCAGTCTCAGATAACAAACAGACCCATCTGAGCAGAGGCATGATCCCTCCCATGCTGAACCCTGCAGGGTGGGACCATGCACAACAGCTTGTCTTACCCACAGCTGCACTGTGCTGTGCAGCCCTAGTCTGCAAGACGTGTTATCGGGCTTATTTAGCCCTTAAATAAGAAATGGGGCTCAAATTCCTTTCTGCCTGGCATCGAGCAGTCCAGTACTGATGGGCATTTATCTGCCCATATAATATTTTAGTGAGAGGAGCAAGGCATCCTGTCCACATCAGTAAAGAGGAACCCATCTGCCCTAATAAATAAACCAGTGCAGTATGCCAGAAATTCCTGTGTTCACTCAGTGGATACACTATTTATTAATTTTTAAGGCCTGCAGGTCACTTTGTCCTCTGATTTTTGTTCCCCTGCAGAGGGCTTCCTGGACAAACTGGAGAGATGTGCATTTTTTGATGAGGAGATTAAACCATCCATGTTTTTCCTCACCATTCATGATGCGGTTTTACACATTTTGATGAAGAAGGACATAGCCAGCTCCCCCAAACTAAAACTCACTGAGGTAACACTACAGTTTTCATTTTTCATTACTTTAATGCCTTTGCACTACTCACAGGCACTCAAGCATGCCCTGCATTGCCAGCCATGTCTATATTTAAAAAGTTAATTTTTAAAACTCAGTTAGTCTCCAATAAATTTGGAGAGTAAGAGTGGCCCCTGGTCCAGGTGCCTGGTAAACCACTAGTGAAGGAGTGAATAATTCCCACTGGAGACTGGCCTGACCATGGATTTCACTTGAAGCCACCTCCTTGGGAAGGATGTAGTGCAGGGTGAAATCCTGGCCCTCCCATCAGCTGTCCTCTGTCATCACCTGTCTTGTGGGAACTGCTGCATATGCTGCAGTGTCTCTTGCAAGGCAGACTTGATGCTGCTTGCACATAGGTTTCCCAGACCTGTCTACCTTCAAGAGGAGTGCTAAAGTAATGCAGATAAATTATTACAGCCAAATCTGATGTTGGGATTTCTGGGAGTGTTCTTAAATCAAAAGCAAGAAAGGATCTCATGTATGTTAAATCTGCTTAAAAGTACCAATCCTAGAACACTGTTCACCTGGTAACTGCCTAATCCCACTTAGCTGAAATGACCCAGCTCTTCTGCACTGACCTGGAGACCTGGTGGGAGGCATAAAGGGCTGACAAGCGAGAGCTTCCTTTTTTCTAGGTCAACTTCCCAGGTGTGTTCCAGAGATTTAAAAAGCAAGACCTTCTTCAATGTGAAAAAGGAAAAAAAATAAAAGAGACAAAAAAAACAATTAATTTCCTAACCCACTTCTTGTGTTCATTGTAGGAGAAAGGCAGCAGAAACGACTGTATCATCCCCAGCAATGGACTGCGCAGCCAGGAGCCCACGGTAAGGCCTTGTTTGTGGCCGTCCAACTGTAGGAAGTGCAGCTCCAAAAGCTGCTCACGAGCACTACTAAGTCAGATAACAAAAGCATCTTCATCCCCGTGCTCTTGCGTCAGCCCAGGGCAGGAAGTGTCCAGACAGCTTATTGATGGGATTTGACTTAAGGCAAAGCTGTACAGGAGTCAGAGGTGTGGGGCTCTGCTCACCAGCCTTGCCTTGCGCACTGAGAGTCTGCAGAGGGAAGGTGGGCAAAGGCCACCTCAGCAGGCTCTCCCCTGGTCTCCTTGCCTATCACAGTGACGAGCTCACTGGTAGAATGCTCACGGGACAGAGACATCAGCATTAGTCCCATTTATCTAAATGTCTTGGGCAGAAGGGGAGTCTGGAGGCAGGTACAAGAAAGGGACACACACACAGCTTTTCATCATGGACTTAAAGGGAAGGGGAGCATCCAGCACACAGCAAACACTAAGGAAAAAATGTCAGACTACAATCTTCTCACATAAATGCTTTAGAGGAGCAAATTCTTACATATCACTCACCAGAGGGCACCTACCATGGTTATTCCTTGCAGAGGCTGACATTTATTTCCTTTTGTTTCCTACAGATTCCAGTAGAAACAAAATTTTAGATTTAATTTTCTACACATAATTTTCTCCAGCAACGTAACATCACGTACGGAAGATGAATGCAGGTGCAGTGCTAAGCATGACAACAGAAGGAGATTTTTAAATACCTTAAGAAGGATTTACTGCATCTGGTTATGTTAACCCTATTTGCATATACTTGTACATATATCTATTATTCTGACAGTTCTTAGACAACCTGTACAGTTACTAAAGAATATATATTTGAAATCTTGTAATTTATAGCACTATCTAATAGTTGGGAGTGATAGTTTATCTTCAGCTTGTATATAACTTGTATAAAGTTTTTCCTATGGTTTGTAAGATTACTAATAAACTGGGTTATTAAACGTGTTTTCAGCTCACTACCGTGAGCCTAGTGTACTCAGTGACCAATGTATCTGCTGTAAAACATGAAGATCATTCAGGAAAGACAGAAATTTTCAGATCCAAACATGATTAATTGATTTGGATTCGACTGATATAAAGTGCATGAGAGAGGATACATTTATAGTGAACTATTAAATAATTATTTTGGTAACTGTATTGCTTGCTGCATTTATAAATGTACCAGCAAGGTAGCTTACACTCAATGAGTGTGTCCCCAGCAAACAGACAGACGGCTGGCCCCAGGACTTGGCTCAGGAGGAGCTGTGGCTGCAGTGCTGCCAGGTATTGCCCAGGCCTCTTGAACAGATGCGCAGAGGACTTTAACTGTCCAGGTCATGCTGACGGTTGACTTTCAGGCTGGAGAGTTGGGCAGGAAGAAACTTAATGAAATTCAACAGGGGGAAGTGTAGGGTACTGCATCGGGGGGAGAACAACTCCATGTATCAGTACAGGATGGGGGCTGACCTGCTGGAAAGCAGCTCAGGAGAAAAGGACCTGGGAGTCCTGGCGGGAGACAGCAGGATGACCATGAGCCAGCAGCGTGCCCTCATGGCCAAGAAGGCCGATGGCATCCTGGGGTGCATTAAGAGAAGTGTTGCCAGTAGGTCGAAGGAGATTCTCTTCCCTCTCTACTCTGCCCTGGTGAGACTGCATCTGGAAAATTGTGTCCAATTCTGGGCTTCCCGGTTCAAGAAGGACAACGAGCTACTGGAGAGAGCCCGTCACTAAGATGATGAGGGGACCGGAGCATCTCCCATATGAGGAATCGCTGAGAGAGTTTGGTCTATTTAGCCTCGAAAAGAGGAGACTGAGGGGGGATCTCATTAATGCTCATAAATATCTAAAGGGTGGGTGTCAGGAGGATGGGACCAGACTCTTCTCGGTTGTGCTCAGCGACAGGACAAGGGGCAATGGTTAGAGACTAAAACGCAGGAGGTTCAACCTAAAAATAAGGAAAAACTTCTTTATTGTGAGGGTAACAGAGCACTGGAACAGGCTGCCCAGAGAGGTTGTGGAGACTCCTCCTCTGGAGAGATTCAAAACCCACCTGGATGTGATCCTGCGTGATCTTCTCTGGGTGATCCTGCTCTGGAAGGGGGGGTGGATCATCAGAAGTCCCCTCCAACCCCTACCATTCTGTGAACCTAACAAGTGTCTACTCTGATCCTCCGGTCTGCACAACCCAGTCGTACAACGGCTGTCGATCAACTCCTGCTGGAACTTCAATGCTTGAAGCTGAACTACAGCACCTCTTTCAGAGAAAATGCAACAAGTGACAGAACTTTCAATTTAGCATAGCAAGTGCTGGAGGTATAAAAAAATCTTCAGCCTACAGGAAAACGGAACCATCCCTGGAGCCTGAAAGAAATGGCAGTTTGAAATCACAAGTTTTTTCATTTTCAAGTGTAGTTGTGACTTTCAACCAAGCTGGGGTGACTTGGACTGTCCAGGACATGCACGGCTTTTTAATATTTTACTCAAGAATAAGCTAAAAGGCGAATTTCATACCTGCTTTCTTTTCGGCGAGCTGACAGATACGGTGTCAATTCATTACATATCCTGAGCCTACCTCTCCTCAGCACAGTGCAGATGTTTGGTAACTAAATTACAGGCATTTTACAGACAGCAAGAGGGACAGAGAATATAGATGCCATGGACCCTGCAATGCTCGAGTCTACTCTCAAGCCTGGTTTTCTCTTTGCAGTGCAGAAAAAATTGTCTGTGTAAAATAGAGAGACAAAAACTTCAAAGTTATTCAGTTATTCAAGGTCTTGGGCCCAAGGGAGAAAACATTATGTTAAGTTATGGAAATTAAGAACATTGTAAGTCAAAACTGAAAACCATTTTAAAAAACCACCAATAACAAATTAATGCCCCATATTTAGAGAACAAGAAGATAAAATTCAGAGTAGAAAAAGTTTCTAAAGCTGCTCTTATGGCTAAGTCAAGACTAAAAGGAGCTTTAAACTTCATTACTCTCACATTGCCCAAACAAATGCAGCTAGTTCAGTTTACAAACTGGTCAGTATGAACCATTAGTGTGAATATAACATACTTGAACACAGTGAAGAACCTCGCAGGCGTGAGGGCACCATTACTACAGAAAGATTATTTAATAATTGCTAAAAATTGCTTTTAACACCATAAAATAAAAAACAAGGGCAATACAACTTGTGTAATACTGACTTGTGTAATACTTTATATATGTAGTCAGAATGAAACTGAATATAAGCCTTGCACATTTCTCTGCTGCACTGCACCTTGTACTGTCATATCTATGAACAGGAAAAGTTCAAATTTATTTCCCATGGATCCAGTGTCATGTTGCAACTGCAATCCACTCTCCTTCTCCAGTTTCCCAGGGCTGACAGCACCGTTTGATGTGACCCTGTGCATGCTTTTGTCAGCAACACAGCAATGCACATAGAAACAATACAAAACCAGACCCAAATTTTACAAAGCAGAAAACATTTTAAGCACAGAGATGTGTTCAGACTTGACCCACAGAGAAAGCATATCCACAAATGGGCTTTTGAGAACACAACTTCACATAATACAGGAGACTGTTATTTTTCCCTTGCTATGTGTGCAAACTCTAACAGGGAATGAATAAGTAAGTTCCCTTACTTACTTACACTTTGGTTTTTAACAAACAGAAGTTGATACTCCTTTGACAGCAGTAAGCGAAAAGTAGAAACTGCATCCAGTAAGGTTTTCTAATTCTCTCGGATCAGATTTAAAAAAAAAATAAAAATAACATTTTTAATTTTACTTTTTTAAAAGGCACCTAACACATCTAACTGATCTTTATGCTAATAGCATTTTTTTTAAAAACACACCAAATCTAAAGTACACGTGTCACACAATTAGCCTGCTTGTTGTAAAGTATGCATGGTTGCAGGCAATCCTTTAAGCAAAGTTATAGATGGAATTGAAGATAAAATGTAAGGAGACTAACATCTCAGCCACAGATGTTTTCAGGTCATCTGCTGGTGTCCTTTCATTCATTCCATGGTGGACACAAACCATCACCAAACTCCTTGTCACTCTCTTATGTGACATTATTAGAGGGACCTACAATGGCTGACAAATTTAAGTGTCATCAGAGTTCTCTGGAAAACCTGAGATCGACTTAGCAATGTCTCGGGAGTGAGATCACTGCCACAAACAGGGATATTTATTCAAAATAAACATAATTAATTCAATTCAAATGCTTGTCTTTACAGGAAGACATAAGTAGGAATCCAAAGAATTCGTAAGTACATCTCACCATTTCTAAGACTCTCAATAACATAATTACATACAATATATGGCTTTTCTGAACTTCACATTGAAATGATCAGCTATTTTGCAAAAAAAACTCAACAAACAAACTGAACAAAAAAACCAAACCAACAAACCCCAAACATGCCCCAAACCCCATAAACAAATTAAAAAGACTGTTAACATAAGGTTTTGACCAACACAGATGCTTTTTAACTTTGTAAATATGAAAGCATCAACAATACCCATAGTCACAAAGGTATATTTAAGAGTTAATAAATAAAAAAAGTTGATTTTGGTTTTCCTGTAAGAGCAGAATACAGAAATTTGACCAAGTCCAAGTCCTGTCTACATAAGATGGCTTTTCAGCAAGTCCTTTATCACAAAGACTTTTGGTCCATGGTCACTAAACAACAATTCAAGGGATCCCACTGCTTTTTTTGGGTAATTTTGTCCATGTGACATGTCACCTGTGCCTCAAATATAAACATCAAAAAACTCTCACACATTCTCTACAGTGACATACATTTATCTTTTCTCTTTTGTGCTTTTGGTAGAGCAACTGCTCTATCTCAGCATTTTCAGAAAAGCACTTCATCGATAACCTCAGAAATAGCAGTGAACCCAGAACTGTTAAGTTTGAACCCTTCATCTGCTTCACAACAGACTGGATAATATGTAACAAAAGTATGCAACCTGAATTCTATTTCTAGAAACCAGCATGATGGAAAGAGTTGCTGTATTTCCTCATCACCTGCAATCGACAGGTAACAGCGGAGTTCAGAATGTCTTATTTTCCAAAACAGGAGTGCACAGGCGAGGTCAATACGTCTCCCTGCACAAAAGCCCGTCACAAGGTGTCCTCGTAAACCTGTGTGCCACCTTCTGAGCCTAAACAAAACAAAGGTGGTACCTAGAACCCTCAGTAAGTCTGTTTAAAACACAAAGTTTGACTTTGCAGAGTCAAACATGTATCAGCCATGCAGATCTCCTCCCAGCTGAAGTTATACACTGCAATATAAACGTGCCTACGCCTACCTCCTACCATCCTTAAAAGTTCCTCATGTGTTTATCGGAAGTTACTGCAACAAAGTAATGCTGGCAGAGCCCTTTTCACGTTCATACACACTGAAACAGTAAATTTTCAACCAAACCCAAACCATAGCACACTATCGCAATCAGCTGCTTTTTCTTCTCCAGTGTGTTTTATTTAAAACAATTTATTTTTCAGAATAACCAAAATGAAGAGCTCAATCTTAGAAAGAAGTGTATTACAGCTAAGCAGAATTTTAAACAGCTGAAGCTTACTGGCCATTTGTATACCCCAGAATTTATTTTTTTATCTCAGAATTTATTTGCACATCTCTATAGAAGTATTAATTTGAAAGGCAATCTAAAAGATTTGCCCATGTTCAAATGGCAAATCAGTGAGAGTCATGGACACACAGTAAATCTAAAAAGCCCTTGCTCTGGTAGTTAAAAATATGCTGTTTAACATAAAATTACAAAATTTTGACTGTTGCACTGCCAAAGCTCTTTCATAAATTTAACACTTACGAGGCGGGAAAAAAGGTTTGTAAAATAAATAGTAACACTGAGGCTTTAAGATGGTTCAGATTACTCAAGAACAGTAAGAAATTACAAACCTTAAAAAAACCTCGAAGGATTTCATCTAAAATCACCACTGCTAGAAATGTAACATTTTGAAAAAACAAAGGTTCAGCACTAACATTGATTAGAAATGCAAAGATAAGCACTCCAAACAACAGAGAGTACGTTTTATTATTGTCCAGTTCTGCTACCAGCTGCACTAAAAAAGAACATTCTCATCCTATGTTTAACAGTACACTTAGAAAACATAAATTTTGGGTCAAAACAGACCTGAGGGCCTGGTTATATTGCTAATTGTATAAAAAGGCAAAGAAAACACCCATTTTCTGTTCAATTAAATCTGTATGACAAAAATCGAAACAGATAAAGGATGTGTAGCTTTTTATTTCTTTTAATCTACATACGGGATTTCAGACCACTTCTTTCAGTTATCCAAATGGGAAGTTTTCCTACTGTACATATTATGTAAAGTGACAGAGACAAACACCACTTCCTTACCTAAAATAATCTGCTGCTCACAGACATGGCAAGCCAATTCACAGCCATTTCCACACAAACATCGCCATAGGTAAACACAATAGTTGGAATTCAACTCCAGCGAGTAGTGTACATGTAAACACAACCTTCTGAACCAAAACTAGCTTTAAAACAAAAAAGCCCCAATCCCAAAATCCCCAACGAAAAGCCCCACCAAAACCCACAACACATTACCTGGTTTCACATCATGGCTGAAACTGTACTTCTGATAAATTTATCTTGCTGCATAAATTTAAAGAAAAAAAGGAAGAAAAAGCTGAAATGCAGTATTCTGCATGTCTGATTTCTAGTGCCATGAATTCACCCAAGCCTGAATTTGTTGTAAGTAATGGTAACTATTAGTAGGAGAAATATTAAAGTTCCCTTAATATTTCATTACACTGCCCATTTGGAAAGTATTAGTGCCGAAATGGCGTCCCAGAACTATGTGTTAACTTCATATAAAAACCCACCACTTTTACAACCATATTTCAATTTAATTATTGTACACAGTTTAACAAAAACATATCACAAGTGAAACTAAACACTGGATTTAACAAAAACAGTATTCAGAATGGTACAACACGTGTTCATTTTCTCCAGGAAATAATATTACAAGTGTTCATCTTAGGACAATTTAGCCACACTAGAGACAGAAGTTCTGTTAAAATGCAACCGTGGTCTACTAAGCCACTTATTTTAGCACTACAGAATATTTGAAGTCAGAGTCCTACAGCCAAGGCTTAAAAATCATTTAAGATTCAAACCCCAAAATATTTTACAGTCAAAATGACAGTATTTAAAAAGAACCCCCACAACAAAATAACCCCCAAACAATTAAAAGGCTGCTGTATAGTTATATCCTCTTCATAGCACTCTCTATTTATATAATTGCTCGTATCACTGGTAATAGGGTCTGTATCTGGCTTGATCAGGGTGGTGTGGTCCAGGAAGCGGGGCCTGAGCAGGAGGCCCTTGCATCCTTGGAGGTGGAGGCGGCCCTCTTGGAGCTGGCCATATCCCTGGACTCATTCCCCCAGGCTGTGTGAAAGGGGGACTAAGAGTTCCTTGATCTTCACTGAACTGTGGCAAGGAGTTAGGATTATAGTGATGGGGAGGGGGTGCATTTACAGGGGGGCCTCCATGCTGAGGAGGGGGAGGTCCTGGAGGAGGATGATTCATATATGGTGGCATCTGGGCAATTATATGTCCAGGTGGTGGGGTTATTGGAGGAGGAGCAGAGGTCATTGGTGGTGGAGGAGCTTGGCTATACACCATGTGAGGAGTACCTGCTGCCTGGGGAGGATGCTGCAGCGGATGGCTTATTGGTGGAGGTGGTGGGGGGGGTGGTGCATAATGTTGCTGTGGAGGCATAATATGATGAGGGTGCGATACCACTGGTTGACCCTGGTATTCAGGATGATGATGAGCAGGTGCAGGGGCTGGTGGAGGTGGTTCTCGAGCACCTGAATTCGAATCATCCTGAATAGGGACAGTTATTAAATTGCTGTGTTTTCTTGTTGAAATTCGGAAGGTGTCCTGACTGACTGGGCGAGGTGGTGGCGGAGCCATTGCCATCTCCGCAGGAGGAGCACGAATGTCTTCATGTGGCTGGTTATAATGCTCATGTGGCACATGCTGCAAAGGAGGTGGCGGCATCATGATGTGCTGCTTTGGCGGAATGTGGCTCATATGATGTTTCTCAGGTGGCATTATGAAACGCTCAGGAATTTCAGCAGGTGGTGGGGCAATAGGAGGATGTACAGGTTCAATCGGAGGACGAGTAACAGGCTTTCCAGCCCTCATATGACGGTGGTTGATGTGAGCTTGTAAGTCTCTCTGTGACAGGTAAGTTCTCTTGCACCCTTGAACAATGCTACACATGAAGAGAGACCCTCGGACACATTGCTCAATTCGCTGCACAGGTTCATTACAGCTAAATCAGAAGAGAATATTGGTTTATTGTCAGCACAGAGAACTCAGTAAGTATTTTTTTTTCTTTCTTCCTACAAGTCAACCAGTTTACCATGATTACACAAATTAGAACCGACAATTTTTTCCCCACTGCAGCAATGAAAGAAACATTTCATTTGAAGTCTATCTAGTTTTTCAGTCTCCAAACACTACTACAGAAAACCCAAAAACTTCATGAGGTGGAAATTTAAAAATAGCATCACTCTCTCTCACAAATTCCTTCTGCGCATTAAGACTTATCAAGAGTCACACTAAGTAAATTAAATTGCTATTTATTCCTTTCCAAATCAGAGCAGTAACAGGTTACCTACACAAATACTTAAATAGCAAAGTAAACACCAATCTCTTACAATCCCAAAATAAGGGATATAGAATCACAGAATCAAAGAACGTATAAGGTTGGAAGGGATCTTTAAAGATCATCTAGCCCAACCCCCCTGCAGTAAGCATTGTTACCAGAGCAGGTTGCTCAGAGCCCCATCAAGCCTGACCTTGAATATCTCCAGGGATGGGGCCTCCACCACGTCTCTGGGCAACCTGTTCCAGTGATCTACCACCCTCATGGTGAAGAACATTTTCCTAATATCCAAGCTAAATCTACCCTTTTCTAGTTTAAAACCACTACCCCTTGTCCTATTGCTACATGCTCTAGTAAACAGCTCTTCCCCAGATTTCTTACAGGTATTATATGAAACTATAATGAAGTGGTATACTAGAGTACTCTACTATCTCTGCTAAATGTACATAGATAAGAACCATGTTAATACAGTATCTGAAATAAGATATAGAAGTTACTTTCCTACATTTCCTTTAATAATAAATCTTGAGATAACTCACCCTGGACACATCTTGTCTCCCTTTTTCTCATGTAGTATAGCACAGTCATAGCAGAAAACATGCTTGCAAGGTATCTAGAGACAAAAATTGGCTTTGTTAAGACATCGTATAAAAATATCTCTCACTTTGCTGAATAGATTTCTTCCCTCCAGCACACAATTTCTAGTAGAAATAAGTTTGTTATCTATGAGGTGAACAGCCATAGTGGTAGTTAATCTGTTTACAGCATCTTTGCACAGAAATTTCCTAAAACAGTTTGTGCTGGGTTTGGGCTTTCTGGGGTTAGGTTTTTTTAAACAGTTCACAAAAACATATAGGCAAAAGTTTAAGTCTAGCAGTAATACCAACACTGAACATTTACAGAAGTGGCATATGCAATCTAATTACTATTCCTTGCCAGCAAGACAATTAAGTTTTAAAAACATTAACTGTCATTAAGTCAGATCCTGAAGCGTGTTACCTCACACTTAGAAATCTAATTAATCTCAGGGATTTTATTACACTAATTTCAAAGGGACATAAAAATGAATAGTGTTTTCTAACTTCAATGCAAATCTTTAATTGAGATAAAGAACTTATTTTTAAAGCTAAGTTGTGTAAGGTCAAAACATACTGAACTTGACGTCTTTTTGTTGGTGACAATGTTTGGATTTTTTGTTTAGTATTTTCAAGCTTACTTCATTAAATCAAGGGATAGAGTGAAATCAGACAAACAGATGGAACAAAAACAATTCAGCAGTGAAGGCTTCCAGTTCCATTCTGATACTCTTCTGCTGTTTATTCAAATGCCTCTCAAACCTCTAGAGGCCTCACAGAGACACAATAAATCCTAATTTTACCTAAAGGGAAACCATGGCTGCATCTTCCACTGATAATTGTACTCACCATGCGTCCATACATTTTGATGGGCAATCCACACTTATCACAGAAATGGACTGGTGTGTCATCCTTTTCCCCCAGCAGGTTTATCTGATAGGATAGAGAAGGAGGTGGGAGAATAAAACCTAACATCACTAAAGCTTCTCAATTCAACCATCACCACCACACCCATTATTTCTGAACTAGTTGAGAAAGAAGACCACCACAAATGTGAGAAAGCAGAGGGCGTATTTTCAGACAGTCAAAAACAGCAGAAGCACTTTTCTTTAAGAAGTTATCTACAGTTTGGTAAGATTCACAAAGATTCAAAACCTCCCATCCATTATTCTACCTTATAGTCCCAAAAGATGGGTCCAGGGAACCTCCTTTGATTGCCAAACATTTCACCGCCTTTGCACTCGTATCGTTCCTCTTCGTTATAATCAAATTCTTCTGTGGAAAGACAAAAGAGAAGAAAGACACAAGCCAACCACAACTCTCTCCTAATTCATACCGGCTGCTCTTAAGTGGATGTGCCATCCTATACTAAAGTCATCAAGAAATGCCACAGAACCTCTAATCTGCTGGGTCCATTCTACAGAAAGGTACAGTCAAAATGGTGTGACAGTCTGTTTTAGGAACACGCACCATTTAATCCTTATGGCACAGCAATACCCAGAAATTTGAAACGAGTTTTGCACTTGGGAGAGAATCTTGGACAGAATCTATTCAGTCTCCAAGACTGAATAAAGTCTTGAGCAATGCTGCAAAATAATATACTTCCCTACTACAGGGCTAGTATTTATATTAACTTACCTTCATCACCAGCTTGTGTCTTTGAAGGCATCCTGTTCATACTTCTTGGAGTTCGAGGTGCAGGTTTGGTTTTATTGGTCTGTTTCGAGATAAGCTTTATAGGGATTCTTCTACGAACATCAAGACCACCCAATGATCCTGAACTATTTGTTCCTTGCAAATCATTGTCTATGAAAGAAAAAAAATTAAAAATTTCACTTATCTACGGGTTTCTGAAGAGGTCAAATATTAACAGAATAGTTTTAAGAAAAATGTTATAACTTATTTTAAGACTCATACAACATATCAAAGTTTAATCAATAGAAAATAAATATCTTCACATACAATTTCTTCCAGAAGTCAAGTCACAAAATTGCATTGGGAACAAATATGCAATTTTAGGAAATCTAGATCTAAAAATAAAAGCTATTTTTAGAAGTTTGCTAGTCTGTCATTTCTCCACAACGGGAAAATAAAACATTTTTTGTATAGCTCCTCTCACAGTGTGAATAGTACTGAAGAGTCAATTCTTTGTGCAACTTTGACAACATAGAATTTCTTGAAAGAAAAGATTTTTTTACAGTTTATGAAAATTGTTTATTAAAGTTGGAAGGAAACTAGTTTCCATATTAACTCAGCATCTTGACATATCAGTTAGAAGTTTAGAATAAAGTATTGCAAAAATACTGGTACTGAAGAATATGTAGCGGTAACCTTGCTAAACTGAAAATTATTGTTCCCCGCTACATACAGAGAGACCTCATCACCACCTACAACTACCTAAAGGGAGGCTGTAGAGAGGTGGGTGCTGGTCTCTTCTCCCAGGTGATGGGGGATAGAACAAGGGGAAACGGCACCAAGCTGTGCCAAGGGAGGTTCAGGTTAGAGATAAGAAGGAAGTTCTTTACTGAGAAGGTTGTCAAAAGCTGGAACAGGCTGCCCAGGGAGGTGGTGGAGTCACCATCCCTGGATGTATTTAAGGAGCGGGAAGACAAGGTACTTAAGGATATGGTTTAGGGGGTAGACAGGAACGGTTGGACTTGATGATCTCAGAGATCTTTTCCAACCGAGCGATTCTGTGATTCTGTGATCTGTACACTGAAATTAGGACCTCCTTAGTGTAATCCCAGACAATGCCTCAGAAATTACTGTCCCCCAAAACCTGTAACTACCACACACAACAAAACAAGTAGGAGGAAAAACAAGAAAAAAAAATGAAAAAAGGAGATTGTTAGAAATTATTCAGCAGCTACCACCAAAACTAGGAACTGTGACAAAGCCTTAAATTGGGACTGTGCCCTGACAGTCACTTTACCTCAAAATCAGAAGCCCTCAATTTCCTCTGATAGATCAAATGAATTTATTCCTCTTAGCACTGTGGTTGACACATTTCACTCTAAAAGGCAATAGGTAAAAAAACGCAAGAACAATAAAGCCTGGTTTTACTTTGTTCATTTGTTGCTTTTGTTTAGGCTGTCCTGTTGGCTAAACAGGGTTCCCCAGAGATCGCTGGACTGGCACATCAGAGATAATAATACTAATGCTGTCTGTTTGTTTGGAAATTCTGTTTTCTACCAGAATACACAAATATGCAGTACCCCAGGCCAGAAAAAGTCCATGGCAGGACCTAAATCTATTTACAAAGAGGGATAACTAAACCAAGATAAATTAAACAAACAAAACACCCCCCAAAACACCTTGTGTATTGTTTAGTCCATCAAACTGCCAATAGGAAACAATAAAGCTTTGACACATTTCTTCCACATAACTTTGCAAGCTAGGAATATTCACATCAGTTAGCTGCTCAACTAATCACAGAATTGTAGAATCACCTGGTTGGAAAAAACCTTTAAGATCATTGAGTCCAACCACAATCCAAACTAGCAAGTTCATTAGTCATTCATGTTTCATGGAAGGATAATAAATTTCAGTCTAAGTACAACTAGCAGAATTAAGTCCAGGAAAAAATATGAAAAGCACACGACAACTGTCAAGACTACTTTGAGAAGTTTTAATTAGAGGTGATACATCCTCCTGAACTGCCCCCTTCATCAACTTTTATTTTTGCTTTTTTTTTTTAATTCATAAATACATCTCAAATACTATACTTTGGATGTATAAACGTATAATGGAAACTTTGCTGATGGGAAGAAAAAAAACAAACAAAAAAACCCTGGCAAAAACCCCACGCCCACTCCTATATGCATGAGATTACATCAGCACGCTAACCAGCCAAGCATCAAAGCTGCAAAACCAAATTTAAGCATGTGAGAAAGTTTCTTCTCCCGAGCACAACTACGCAGCCAGCACACGCGTTACCAGCACCGATCTCGGGAAGCGCAGCGGCCAAATAAGCGCATCACT